AAAAGATTATATTCCATAGCAGTGAATGATTAGAAATGAAATGGTTGTTGGGAGAGGAGTGTTTGTATTCCTATTTTTTATATAGGTGCTTTGGCTTAAAAACTTATTTAGTATTTACTTGACTATTTCCTAAGCTGTATTTTAATGAAGTTAGAGTACTTTCATTGTTATAGTTGTGAACATGTTAATAAATAATAGTTTCTACTCTGAATCTAAGTGAAATACTAAATACATTATTGAGTTGATAGTAAATTATTTCCTTTTTTTTGCTTGATAGTTGGAAGTAAAAACTTTTGATTCATTTAAATGTATTATATACTTTTTATAGAGTACAGTTTATATAGTTATGTAAACAAAATTAAAAATTAATTATTAGAATCTGACTTTTTTCTTCCTTTTTCAAGGGAAAAATTTATACACAAATGAATATGTGGCAATTAAACTGGTAAGTTCCTATTGATTATTTTTCCTTTATTATTAGCTTATGTTTTAGTTTTTTATCTTCATGTCATTTATAACGGGTATTTATTGAAAAGGAGAGATGACATGTATGGCTGGACTTTTGTTACTAAATCCCTAGCATCATGATGCCCCCAAAGTATGTGCTAATGTGTAGGGAGGATATCTTGTTTTTCTTTGCCATTAGAGCTCTGTTCTGGGGCTGGAAAGATGACTCGGGGGTTAAGAGCACTGGCTGTTCTTACAGACAACCCGGGTTCAAAATCCAGCACCCACAAGGCAGCTAACAAACATCCCTAATTCCAATTCCAGGGGATCTGACACCCTCATCTGTCCTCTTTGGGAACTGCACAACATGGGTTATGTTCAGGCAATACCCTCATGCATATAAAATTAAAATAGATTAAAAAATATTAAAAATGTATTTTAAAAAACTTTGTCCTTTTACTTTGGCAACACTATAGAACTGAAATTTTGTTGTTTGGCAGTATTTTTAGAGAGACACCTTAAGTGGATAAAAACCATAAAGCAAAAATTTCTCTTTCTGGTTCAAACATTTGTACCAAACAAATGTCTTTAGCATTTAGGATCATATTTGAATGTATACTACCAGGCATTTTCTGGAAAACTTTGTTTTGCTGATATTTTATAAATATGGTAAACTTGGCTGTTACTTAGCTTTCAGGAATTCAGAAATGCTTGATCCATGTCGGGTAGCAAAGGAAAGCTAGCATGTGGGAATATTCTGAACATGACAAGTGGAAAAGTGGGCAAATGCCTTCTGGAAGCATTTGGACCTAGGATTTTCTTTTTTGGTCTTTTTGAGACAGGGTCTTCCTGTAGCCTCAGCTGGCCTAGAAGTCACTATGTAGACCAGGCTGGCCTCAATCTCACAGAGATCCTCCTGTCTCTGTCTCCCAAGGGCTGGGATTAAAGTGCACCACCACATCTGGCTCTAGGAATTATTTTCACAAGGCATGTTCTCTTTATTTGGCTTGTTAGTCAGAAGTTTAGGTTGGCTTGGTATTCCTACTCTACTTGCCTTTGTCACCCTTGTTTCTGCCAGTGTAACCTGTGTATTAGGGTGATGTGAAATTAGTAGAGAAAGGTGAGATTGTTGGAGGAAGGGGCAATGGGAGAAACTTTTAAAAAAGCTTTTGGGGCCGGGCGTGGTGATGAACACCTTTAATCCCAGCACTCAGGAGGCAGAGGCAGGCGGATCTCTGTGAGTTCAAGGCCAGCCTGGTCTACATAGTGAGTTCCAGGACAGCTGGGGCTACAGGGAGACCCTGTCTCAAAAAGACCAAAAAAAAAAAAAAAACCTTTTGAACTGCAGCAGTGGACTGAAGTATTTGTGAGTATAGACCTGGTTTCACTGCAGTAAATGCTGTTTGCTTTCACTTGGAAATGAAGATTGCAGACAGAAGGATTGAGGCACCATCTGGAGACACTGGCTGCCTTATGTGTGGCTTGCCTAGGTGAGTTCTCCTTTGTTTCAAAATTTAGTCCTTGCCTTTGTGATTCAAATTCTGGTTAGGTTATTTCAAGATTGTGACTATTGATTGAAGTTGGGTTTGTAGTAGTCAGTCTTGAGAGTAAGTTCATAAAGTCAGGCTCTCAGAGATAGATGTAAATGTTGAGCAAAGAATTTCTAATTTTTGTTTGATTTTTGTTGTTTGGTTCTTTGAGACAGGATTCCTGTTGGCATGGAACTCTATGTAGACCAGGCTGGCTGGACTCTCTGAGATTTGCCTGCTTCTGCATTCTCAGTGTTGGGATTAAAGTTGGCACCACCATGGCCAGTTTAATTTCAATTTTTAATGAGACATTTTTATTATTAAGGTCCAAAATGCCCAAATTAGTATAAATCTTTTTAAAAATTTATTCCTTGAGTTTTACACCTGAATACAATGTATCTTGATCATATCTAACCCTCACTTCCTGCTTCTACTCCTCGCCCCCCCCCCCAATATCTTGTTTTTTAAAGTAATTCCCAGGTCTAGTTAGTGCTGCCTGTGTGCTCGTGGGATATTGGGCCATCCACAGGAGCATGGGCAGCCTGCCAACAGCCACACCCCGCAGAAAACTGACTCTCCTTCCCTAGCAGCCATTAACTTCAAAAGCTCCTCAGCTAGCCTTGTGTGCCCCTCCCCCACCCAGGCATGAGATTGGTGGGCTAAATCTTGGGCAGCCCACCTTAGCTACTATGAATTCGTGAGTACAGTGCCTGTGTCATGTCCAGCAGTGTGCCCCCGCCCCTCCCGCTCTTTTAGCTCTTACATTCTTTCTGTCCCCTCTTCAGGGGATGTTCCCTGAGCCTTTCCAAGGTGGAGGAATGTTGGGGAGGGGGATTGATTCAGACATCCCATTTAGGACTGAGCACTCAACAGATACTTAGTTTCAGCTCTTTGACCAGTTATGAGTCTCTGCATTAAGTAACATTTTTAATAGGCTTCATACAAACTCAAAATAGATAAGAGAAGTTAGTATATATAGGGATCACAGGAGGAAGCCCAGGATGAAGGAACTAGACAGTATTTGAATAAGCATTGCTGATTTTCTTTGGAATTCTTCCCTTTTTCCATGTTCTAGCCCATTGTATGGCATTGGAGTTGGGAGTAATGAGCCAGGACAGAAGCATGGTGGCATTTTGTGCTGTCCACGAAGCAGCCATAGTGAGCAGCTCTGCGTGCTGGGCATGCCCTTTGTGATAGACAGGAGCCCCGTCTAGTTCAGTCATCAAGTGCTGACCCTTAAGTCCTGTTATTTTCAGATTTGGGACTTGTTTATCCTGTCCCTACCACTGATACCTTAGTAAATGTTTATTGTCACCTTTCAGCCTTCTTTTATGTATGTACATATTTCACTTTATTTCAGTTTGTTTTGTCTTTTGAAGCAGGTTTTCATGTAGCTCAGGCTGGCCTTGAACTTACTGCATAGCTGGGCATGAACTTGACCTCCTGATCTTCCTGCTGCCACCTTCTAAGTGCTGGGATCACAAGTGTACACCAGTATACCTCTCCTGGTTTGTCTTTCTAAAGTGTAGCAATCAGCATCACGTGTACAAATTGTGATTAGTCACAATTAAGGGTAGCCTGGAGTATTTTCACTTCTGTCCTCCATATTTGATGTTGAAGTGTGGCATGTAATCATATTCTCCCTGAATTCATCCACACAATATATTGGGGGCGGGGGTCAGAAAAAATTTTACATTTTAGTATTTAGTTTTACCGTTTTGTGTTTTGTTTGTATTTATTGTATCTGATTGCAATAGGTGAGGTGTCATTTTGGTTAGAACCAGCTGTACAGGTAATGCTTGAAAATATTATGTCTGTGTACTTCCAGACATACCTGCTGCCTACATACACTTTGGTGCAAAGAAGGCATTATTTGACAACATGTTGAGAGCAGATCTCAGTGGCTGCTTGTAACTCTCACATCTTGTAAGATGTTCATACTGCCTGCCTTTACCCTGTTTTATATCAATAGCTTGTTTTTGGTGACTTGCTAATTTGACCTTTAGCCACCTTCATATCTTCTTTTTTCTATTTATATAAGAACTAGTTGTCCGTGTCTCTCATTATATGGTGGTATAATATTATTGCTAGTAAAGTACTAGAATCAAGTTGAAATTACTAAATATATAATAACATTTTATTATTCCTAGTAAAGTACTGGAATCTAGTTGAAATTACTAAATATATAACAACATTTTATTATTCCTGGTAAAGTATTGGAATCTGGTTGAAATTATTAAACTAAATCCCTTTATTTTTTCTACCTGGAGGAGATCAGTGATTGAGTAAAATATTTAGTTTCAGTTGTGATGGTGTAAGCAGATATCATTTCCCATCTTTAGGTTATATATTTTTAGATAACTAACCAAAATAAGTATGGACAATATAGCACCATGTGAAAGGTACTGTTAGTTACTTTATATATATTAAATTGTATATGTTATATATACACATATAGAGAGAGGGAGAGAAGGATAAAAAGCTTTAGCCCTGTTTTACAGATGAGTAATTGAAACACACAGAAAGGGTAATTAACTTGCCAGAAATCACACAGCTAGTGAAGTGAGAGACTAGTATTTAAACCAAGTGTAATTTGATTTCAACTTTTGTGGGGTTTACTGTCTTACCTCTCAATAATTAAACTTATTGCTTTCTATTGAAATAATCCTTGGTTATAAGTTCATTATGCTGTGTTTTGTGTGTGTGTGTGTGTGTGTCTGTGTGTGTGTGTTTGTGTTTGTAGAGTTACTCAACTTGGGCTTCTCACTTCTCTTGAATCTGTGGTTTGTTGCCCTCATCCATTCTTGACCTGTGCCCACCGCCCCCCGTCACCGCCCTCCCTCCCCCCCTGCTCGAGGCACCCATCAGATGCCTGTTTACTTCATTATCGGTCTGGGTCTCTAATGATGTATAGTTTCTTTGTTCACTCATGATGTAGTCTGCATAGTTTTTCTTTTAGCCACCTATTTTCTTTTTGTTCTTCAGTTGTACTTAATGGTTATAGTAAACTGTGCTCTTAGTTTAGTTACTCTGTGTGTGTGTGTGTGTGTGTGTGTGTGTGTGTGTGTGTGTGTGTGTTTGCTTGTTTCTTTGTTTGTTTGTTTGTTTGTTTGTTTGAGACAGGGTCTCCCTGTAGCCTCAGCTGGCTTGGAGATTTACCAGGCTGGTCTCAATCTCCTCAGTCTACCTACCTCTGCCTCTGCCTCCTGAGTGCTGGGATTAAAGGCGTGTGGCACCGTGCCCAGTTAGTTTTTGTGGTTTCTAAAGTTCTGCTGTTCTTCTGGCAGCTGATACCAATCTGTTTCACATTGAGCACAAAATTGATTCTGTTTTTAAATATTTTATTTATTTTATTTTATGTATATAAGTGCATTGCCTGCATGTATGTGAGTGCACCCATGTCAGAAGAGGGCTTCGGATTCCCCCGGAACTGGAGTTAAGGACAGTTGGTAGCCACCATGCGGGTGTTGGGAATTGAACCCGGGTCCTCTGCAAGAGCAGTCAGTACTCTTAATCGTTGAGCCATCTCTCCAGCCCTACACAATTGATTCTTATATGGATCTAGAAAAACAGATATGTAGGTGAATATATAATAAGCGTTGACACTAAAATTGATAGCATTTGGAGTTAGAGCCTAGTGAAGTCTCTTGTCGTTTTGCTTGTTTAACTAGGAACCCATGAAATCCAGAGCTCCGCAGCTGCATTTGGAATATAGATTCTACAAGCAGTTAGGATCTGGAGGTAAGTTATACTCATTTTTAAATTTGTAAAATTTGGAAGTTTTAGACTGTCAAACAGTTCTTAATTTCAAGGAATAATGTTTAAGTTTGAATGCAGAGTCATTTATCTTTAAAAAATTTTCTATGGGGACTGGAGAGACATCTCAGAGGTTAAGTGTGGTTCCTGCTCTTCCAGAGGAGCTGAGTTCCCAGCACTTATGTTGGGTGATTCAGAGCCACCTGTACCTCCAATTCCAGGGGATTGGTGTGCACATGCTCACACTTCTATGGAAGGTCGAGGACAGCTTGTAGGCGTTTGATCTCTTCTACCATATGGGATCTGGGTTAAGCTTAGGTGATTAGCCTTGGCTGGCAAGGCCCTTTACCGCCCAGCTATCTTGCTGGCCACAAAGGATCTTTTTTCTTTTTCCTTTTTAAAAAAAAAAAAATTTCTATGGGCTGGAGAGATGGTGCAACCATTAAAGGTAAGGTTAGCAACCAAAGGCAAAAAAATATACTAATTAAGAGTCATTTCTTAAGAGTATGCTTACTGGACATTGTCTTACCAAATTGTCCTTTTGAAAGAAAAATGTGATTTTCGAGCTTTTTCTGTTGGTGGTAATGTAAGTAGAAAAGATTGGGACAAAGTTGATTTAATCATGAAATGCATATAACATCCATATTATTAGCATTTTTTGCAATATTGTTGTTGTGATGGGGTAAAATATGATTCCATAAATATGTCTACATCATAATCCCTGGGACCTATAAAGTTGCCATATGGCAGACATTTGAGATGGCAAGGTTATTCTGGATGTTGTCTGGGTAAACCGTAAATGTAATTGCATGTATCTTTATAAGGCAGAGCTATTTGACATACACAGAAAAGGGGAGGACAGTAAGTCCATGTGGCAGCAGTTTGAATGATGTGATTATGCCAAGGAATGCCTACAGTTCTAAGGTGCTAAAGGATGCTTCTAAAATTCTCTTCGAGAACCTGTAAAGGGAGTGTGGCCCTCTCTTGATTCAGTCTAGTGAAGCTGATGTCAGACTTCTGGCCCGCAAGCTGTGGTAAAATCAGTTTCTGCTTTGTTAAGCAACCAAATTTGTAGTAACTTCCTATAGTAGCCTTTAGAAACCAATACAGATATGTTTTTCTACAAATTCTTAATCTCAATGAAAATGGAGATTTTTGTGCCATTGGCAAAAAAACCCTAAACAACCAAAAACAATTATAGAGAAATGTTCTATGTGTTGCATTGTCTTCACTTTAAAGCTTCTCAGGGCCTCTCTTGTCTGCTCCTCTTCTAATTGTAATGATTTTACTTGTACAGTTTTTCATGTAGTACAGGTAATGCATATTGTTTTCCCAGGTTTAATGAAATAGAATTTCTTGATGTATCTTTTTATGAGCATATTTACATTCTAGTTGGTACAGCTGTCCATTTCTTCAAATGATAATAAAACTTTGCATTTTTCCACCAAGAGCTTATACTAATAGTCATCAAAATGTTACTTGAAATTTTGTATTAATGCATTTATCATTACAGATTTTATAATGCCTATGAAAGTCTCATACAGTCAGGCCTGTGTTAATCAGAATTACGTCTCTATGACTGAATACTTGAGATTATAGGGAGGAAAAGTTTATTTTGGCACCTGGTTTCAGGGTCTTCAGTTCACAGTTGTTTACAATCAATCATTGCTTCAGGCTGTGACAAGGCAGAATGTGGCAGGGGAAAGTTCACCTCTTAGTGCCTGTGAAACAGAAAGAGAGACAGGAAGGGGTAGAGTCTTAGTATCCACTTCAAATATATTCCTCAGTGACCCAAATGACTTTCACTAGACCCCACCTACTAAAAGTTTTACTGTTTTCTAATAGTTCTCAGAATTGGAGTCCAGGTCTTTAACGGTGGGCCTTGCAAGACTCCCTAGATCCAAACTGATTAAAACCCCATGGAGTTACCAGAGTTAGCACTGACAACTGGGATTTAAAATCTATGGGAATTGGGCATGCCTTTAATTCCAGCAGAGACTTACAGATCTCTGAGTTCAAGGCCACCCTGGTCTACACAGTGAGTTCCAGGCCATCTGGGGCTACAGGGAGACCTGTCTCAAAAAGACTAAAAAAATTAAAAATAAAATTTACAGGAATAAAGCTAGCTGTCTATGAATTCAAGCATGTAAGAAGCCAAGAAGAAAAACAACTACAGAAACAAGTGATAAAACAAAACTCTGAAGGAATTTATGGCCTCATAAACTGGAACTGCAAGGAAATGTCCTAAAATTGAGGACACTGCTGTATCTAGGGTTTCAGATATGTCAACAAGATCCTAAGCCTTTATGGTCTTCCTTTCTTTGAAAGCATGTCACCCTCTGGTTGGTCCTTCTTATGGGATGGCTAATGCTAAGTTTAAGTGCAATAATTGTAAGAGCATCTTTTTTCTAAAAATGACCATTAGTTCTAGGACTGAATTTTGCTTTCTTATTTTGGGTCCTATGTTTTTCTTTGATTTAATCATGAATTTGATTTTTCAAAGTTAGGTGATGTATATATCCCAGGAGCTGCTTCAGACGCGAGGGACTGAAAATGGCTGCAGTGGTTGCCTACTGGGAAACTGAGGCATCATTAGAAGTAAAATTGGGTGCTGTGAAGATAAAAACAACAGCTCTATGAGCTAATGTAGTGTAACCCTCTGGTTGCAGTGTAGTGTACTATAACTATCATTTGAAAAATCAGCATCAAATAGATTTTATTTGGTAAGAATAAGTGACAGTTTGGAATTTAATAAGTTATTGTATTGATAACAAAAGAATACTTGTATTGAATGCAAAAATATTATTTCCATCTATGCCTGTTTTAATTTTAAAAAATTATGTCAGATGTAAAGAAACATAAACCTGTATATCTTTTAGCACATGGAAGCTATAGGTCTTGCAGTATAGAACAGTGTCAGGTACCACCAGTTTCAGGGAAGTCTTCACTGTAAGAGCTCTCCTGTAGCATGGGTATCTTTCCCCTAGACAGATATGAGTAGTGTATCCAAAGGCATGTATTGTAGTGGTTCCAAAACTTTGAGGGTTAAATTTTATTTTATTTTCCCTTTTTAAGAGAGGGTCTCATATAGGCCAGTCTGGCCTCAAACTCCTGATCTTTGCCATTATCTCCTTAGTGCCAGGATTACCCAGAGTGCTACCTCGCCTGGCTCAGGTATGATATTTTTGAGCATTTAATGAGTCATATGAAATTTGGGTACTTTTTCATGTTTTTTTATCATGAATTTTGAAAACATTTTAGAATACCCATGTGAGTGGTAAAAGATTTATTTAGGAGCCTGGTTCATGCCTACAAATCCTAGCACTTTGGAGGAGGTATAAGGAGGAGGATCCGGAGTTCAGAGTCATTCTTGACTACATAGCAAGTTCTGATGGATCCAAAGCCCCCGGAATAATGGATTTAAACTAAAATCCCCCAGGCCTGAGAAAAACTGTACAAGGAAGTAAAAATAAAAAATAATTCTGAATGCTAAGAACAAGCTGAGCTGACCTTTTTCATGCTCCTCTGCCCAAGTTGGAAATCATCCCAGAAATTCCCCCTACCTCTGCTTGGCACATAGCCACCGCTTTTCTGCTTGGCACATAGCCGCCGCTTGTTTTTAAAAGAAACCTGTGAACTGGGCTCTAGGCTTCTGTCCTCCGAGTGAGGCAGGAGTCCGTTTTGCAAAACGCCATTAAATTCCTCTTGCTATTACATCTACTGGTTTGAGGACTGAGTTATTGGGGTGCGACCTCCCGTGAACATAGGGTACCCCAGTCTGGGGGTCCAACATTATGAAGCTTGTTGAGAAAAATATGTTAAAGCCTGAGACAGTTCAAACTGTCCCTTCACCAGGTTGTTAAGACAAAAGAAACATGCCAGAGGGAAGTGATGCATGTTCTGGTAGTGAACACAAATAGAAAGTGAGTCTGAACAGTTGTGCCTGTACAGGACCTGTAAGTCTGTATTCTGGGAACCAGCAGGAGTGGCAGATGTGCCCAGAGACCCCAGGTTCCGCCACTCTGACCTTAGTGGCCAGAGTGATCTGAAGTGAGGAGGACAGCGTAGTTTTCCTCACCTCGGGAGAAGGGAGATTGGCTAGTAAGAGCTACCTACATGGGACCCTGCCTCAGTAAACAAAGGGGTGGGAGGAAAGATTTATTTAGTTAGATATCTGCCAAAAATGTGCAATTTTTCTGGTTCTGCCTGCTTGAAATGATTGTCTTTTAAGTTTGTATGGCTTTTTCTTTTCCTTTAGCTTCTCTGGCAGTTTTTTTTTCCTCTGGCGTGTTCAATGAATCTAATGGTATGAACAATAGGAAATACATGACTTGATTCAAATATGAAAATGAGTGGCTTGCTTAGGTTAGTTACCTTGGTTTGTTTTGTTTTGAGACGAGGGCTTTCTGTGTAGTCCCGGCTGACTAGGAACTTGTTATGTGGACCAGGCTGATCTCAGACTCACAGAGATCTACCTGCTTCTGCCTCCCAAGTGCTGAGATTAAAGGTGTGTGCCACTATGCCTGGTTAGGCTACTTGGCTTTGGCTAGGATTAGAATCTCATTTTAGACTATTAACTTTCTGTGAAAATTTAACATATAGAAAAATCTCGTCTTATCACATGTTCTTAGAATCAGTTAAGCAAAATAAAAATCTAGCTTTGAGAGTCCTGAGCACTTAGATGTTTTTTAAAGCAAAGGTGGTGATCGAGATGAGATCCTTCAGGGGAATATAAAGGCTGATGAGGTGTGGGGACCTGGAACATCACTGTGTAGGGTCATTACTGACAAAAATCCTGACACCTAGCTTAAAAAAGAGTGTTATATCAGAAAAATAAATAAGGAACTCTGAGGTAGGCAGATGTGGGGTTGGCATAGCTCCTCAAAAGTAAGGAGCCAGGCTCCTATTTCTAGAGCAGAGCTTTCTTCTTACAACCTAGAATCTTTTGTAAAGGGAAATGAAGTTATTGGTATAAAGGTAACTTT